ACGAACGGGGACTAAAAATACCAGCACACAGAAATGGCTGTACACGGTGGGTAAGGGTAATTTACGTATGATATAAAATAGAAAGCTACACACATTACAAGTACAGATTATGGCTGCACATGGTGATAAAAAGGTAATTTATGTATGATATCATGAAATTTATTTAACACAAGACTACATACATTAAAAGGTAATACAAATGTATCTGACTTGTTTAGTATGGTTGAGGCTCTAGGTCAGTCTGGTATGGCGAGTTTCCATACCAATCTAAACCATGGTTTGGTACCAAGCCAGTCAAATCTGGTCACCACAATATATATTTTTAGTAGTAGGTTATTGTAGTATTATCCAGTATAACCAGATGTTTCAGACAAGGGCCTTTCTTCAGTGTAATATCTGAATTAAGTGAGAGATCATAGAAAAAAAAATTACACTGAAAAAGGGCCACTGCCTGAATTGCCTGGTTGTATTTAATCATTACCAAGTTTCACTGATATCTGCTGTAGAATTTCTGATAAAATGTTGGAGACTGAAAACGGAAAACGGATATTGACAAAACCCGTTTTATAAAGTCCCCTTTAATTTCAGGCTGCGCCTGAACAGGCACTAATAAGTCTAGTATGGTGAGGCATTTTTACAGTCTTGCACAGCCATGAGCACGAGAATGTGTTTTATCTGATTGCCTTAAGACACTAAGAAGTAATGTATAAAAGCCAAGGTCTGTGAAATTAGAATACATGGAGACCCAGTGACATTCTAGCATGACAAAACTGCAACATGCAAATAATCCAGTACGTAACATTCTATTGAGACCAAGCACCATTGCTGTTTATGGCCTATACAAGTTTAATATTTAAAGCAGGCGAGTCATGTGTGCATACAAATGGACATAGCAAGTAGTTGTTTACAATCAAGCGTCTTCCCATGAGCCTTCCTGTTTTAGCATACACTTATCGTCTCTTAGAGACTCAATTCCCACATGCAAGCAGGTGACACCCCTCCGGCTTTATGTCAAAAGAAATTAATATTATTTTAAACAAAGATCCAACCGTTATTGTTTTTACAAAAAAATTCCCAACCTACCTTTTGACATCATTGATGCCATCCTTAGGATTTCTGTAAAATTAAGAGCACAAACATGTACATCATCCCGAAAGGACGAACACATGCACATGGGTAAATCCTTGTTCTCAGACATTATCTAAACAGGGACTATAAACAAAAAGTCAGTAGCTATGTTATTTGAGATGCTACTAGAAAAATCCAATTTTGAACTAGCACGCATGAAATGCTAATTGAAAATTTTTCCCTTAATATACCTTTCCCTTCCATCCTTGATGGTACGGGCAAGGTAAAAATGTATACATAATCACACAACATTGGAAAATTCCAAAGGATTTCAAAACAACTATTACACCATGGATTTTCTCATTAAATCCTGATACAAATTATGAGGATTGAATTTCAAAGCATTAAAATTACTTTTCTTTAACTAAAAAAATGAATGTTTTAACTGAAACAAGTCATTGAAAATGACACAGTCCCCGTTAAATTTTGGAAAGTTCTCTTTGTGCTCGTCATATTAAAGCGGAGGGGTTGTCGCGAGCGTGTCCTTGAAACTTGAGTTCCAAGTGGCATATACAACAGATTGTTTATTTACATCAAAACACGAGTTCATTGTAGTAGTAATATGGCCAAAAATAAAAACAGCCATTATTCAGTCATCTTTGATCTGATTATGAAACACACTGATATGTATGATGTATGTGTACATAAATTGTGGAAATATAGCAGTAAGGCCAAAAAGTCAGATGTCTGTCA